TTGTTATAAACATTAGTGATATATTTTTAAAGGGTCTGGCACATAGTGCTATATAATTATGACCAATATATATGTCTTAAGAACTTTTATCATCTTTTTAAGAGAAGGCAAATGGTTCCTATTTATATAAGTCTCCCTTAAAAATATATGTGTGTACATTTTGGTAAATAACTATAACCTTTCTGATTTCTTGCCTATTGTTTGGTGAGCATATAGTTATCTGTTAAGACATTGCCCACTCTCTGGAAAACTAACGTAGGCATTGTGCTTTCATAGCACTTGTTTCATGTTCAATTAAGCATTTATCATGTTGTCATTTAATTATGTATATTTAACTTCCCTATTAGGCCATGCCAACATTACAGGCTTTATATTTTTTTTTTTACTATTATAGCCAGTCTCCAACTAAAAAGTATCTGGCACATAGCAGACACTCAAATATTTTTTCTTTCAAATCTTAGTGTGGTGTCCAATTCCTTCTTATGACTTGCCTCAAAATGCTTGGCCCTTGTGGTTCATCACTTTCTACCCCAGGACTCTTGCACTAGAGATGCCACATGCACTTCTATAATATGCCCTGCACTTTTACTCTTCGTTCCCATCCCCACAAAGCAGACTCTGTGACTACTGTCCCTGCTGCCTAGCCCACACTCATTGTAACCCCCACCCCTACACGAGCACACATACAATGACTAACGCCTAACTGTCTGCAAGAGCTTGGACTCCATCTTCTCCAGCCTCCTTCTTGTTTAGGACTTTCTGTAAAGGGGCCTCTTACATATTGTCATTTGTGCCCTCTGCTTATAACAATAACTAATATTTCAGGCATTGTCCTAAGCACTTCCCTATATTCGCTCACTCAATTCTAACAATGACCTTAGGAATCAGCAACTTTTAGTAGCATCAGTTTGCAGATGAGGCGCAGAGACTCAGAAAGGCTGAATAACTTCCCCAAGTGGCAAGTCAGAATTCAAGCCCAGACTGTCTGGAGTGGCCAGACTCCCCACGAGGGCTGACACATTCTTTTATATTGACAGGTACAACACATGTTAATTTTAATTCGGTGTTGCTAATACATCAATTTCCTTTACGAGTTGTTTTGTCTCATTCACATACTTCCTGTGATATTATGTACTTGATGTTTTTATTTAAGTCAATTTGGGTTTTGAAAAATGTACACACATATATTTTTTAAATTTCTCTATATAAGAAACCATTGGCCTTCTCTTAAAAAGATGATGGAAGTATTTAAGACATATAAACCACCAGTCATCTCAATCTCATACATCATGAATAATACATGTACTAAGATTTCAAAAACTTTGCCTTATTTCATTAGATTGTTATGTCAGCACTTTCATTATTGTATAGGTGAGGAGAAATTAAGCTGGTGTTTAAGGTCCCATTGTTGCTCACAGACAGAGCTGGCACGAGTACTCAGGTTCTCCGTTCTACTCTGGTATTTATTATGGGCCATGTGGAGGCAACTGCTAAGAAGGGCACTGAAAATGGAAAACCTGAAGCAGGGTGGGTAGAAGTGTCCTCCCAATGTGACCAGGGAGCAACGCAGGGTGGTGGTACTGGGGCCTGGCTAGACAGAGAGGCCCTGGGTACTGAGATATCCTAGATAGATGACCTCTGGGAAGGCAGGTTGATACTGGAGTCTCCATCCTCCCATCCACCCATCCCTGGCCACTTAGATTCAATCCTGACCTGAAACAAAAAGAAGGACTAGAAAATAATTTTTAGTCTGGAAGCCTCTTAGAAGCCTCCAGTATAGCCTGGATCTATTTACCCAGAAACTTTTATTTCTAACAGAAAGTGTTTCTGAGAGAGGAATCTTTGGGATTAGACCAGGAGGCCAAGCCTCTGGATGAGCCTCTGTCAACTGCTGGGCCTCCAGATTTTTCCCCCATAGATGGGATTTGAGAATCCCATCTAGTGACATCACACCTATCAACTTGGTGAGGCACAGGAGCTGTGGGATAGTTTCAGTCTGGGATAGGGTGAATGAGATTTCAGGAAGTTCCTGAGGGAGTCTAAGTCCTAGGAACAATGCTAAAAATCACATATCCAGGGAGAATTAAGTGACATATACCTTAGAATTAAGCATCTAATATTTAATTAAGTATGCAGTGGGTATTAAATAAATACTTATTAGAAAATATAGCAGTATTTGAAGTCCTTTCCACAATAGCAGTTTGTATACTGGATTGAACCTACCTTTTTAGAGGTAACAATGGCTCAATATTGGTGATTTCATATAATTGAACCTAATACTTGGGTGGAAAGTATGAGTTGGGCATCATGGATTTCTGTCAAAGCTCGGCAGCAGGCGTTATACTGGATCAAGCCATATAACTTTTCCAGGTCTCAGTTTCTTCATCTCTTGGATATTGAGATTGGAACAAACTGTGGTTACAACTTATAAATTTGTTTGATTAATTAAAATTGGGAAAATAATGATTACTTACAAACTTTGCAAAAATATTTCAAAATATGATACCCAGAGAAAACAATTTTTATTGGTTAATTTTTTATTTTAAGGTAATTTAGACTCATATGCGATTGTAATAAATTATAATATAGAGCTGCGGTCCCCAACCCTGGGGCCGCAGTCAAGTACCAGTCTGTGGCCTGCTAGGAACTGGCCCTGCATCACCGTCTGAGCTCAGTGCACCGCCTGGCACCCCCTATGGAAAAATTGTCTTCCACGAAACTTAGGAACCAGGCTGCGCATCAGGAGGTGAGTAACGGGAGAGTAAGCAAAACTTCTTCTGTATTTACAGCTGCTCCCCATAGCTCATATCATTGCATAAGCTCTGCTTCCCCTCTCCAGCCCTGCACCCCCTCCCCGGCCCCATCTATAGAAAGATTGTCTTCCATGAAACTGGTTCCTGGTGCCAAAAAGGTTTGGGACCACTGAAAGAGAGGTCCTATATGCACCTTACCCAGTCTCCCACAATAGTAACATCTTGCAATAGTGTGATACAATATCAAAATCTGGCCATTGACATTGATGTAGCCA